CAGCCCTCACCTAGATAGCAGGGATTCTGCATGGGAGGATCCCCAAGTCGTGCTGTGGGCTCTCCAGGATCAGGGACTCTCTGACTGAGCACCTACTATGTGCAGGGCCCTGGGTTGGTACTTTGCATTCCTTCTTTCATGACCCTGAGAATCTTCTTTTACGACCACAGCAGATGTCATCCCAGAGGAATACACTGGGCTTGGATCCAGAAGGTGGCTCTCTCAGCCATGATGGTCATGTCAAGCTTTTATAGGAAGAGGGACAGAGCAGGAGGCTTGTGAAGGGGGAGTCCTGATTCCAGAATCCATCGCCTTTCTACTGCATCATTTGTCCCTACAAGTGCAGGCCTTACAATGACATGTGACAATAATAGTAAACAGCTATCACATACTGTCAACTGTTTGCCAGGTATAGTGCTGGGTTCTCCTCATTCCTTATGCTATTTACAATCCTGAGAAGCAGGCCTTAGTATTACCCCCATTCTACAGTCAAGGAGACAGCCACAGAGAGGTTAAGTAACTGGCCCAGGAACACACAGCTGCTAGGTGGCAGAACTCATGCCCTTTTGGGTCTCCCTGGGTACCCGGCTCATCCTCTCTGGCCCTCGTACCAGGTTTCATCGGGGACCCGAGAGCACACAGGGGCCACAGCAATTCTCCCCAAGGCCTGAACTAGATCTAAAAAACCCCAAATCTAGGGAATGTTTCTTCCTTGTTCTTGCTCGGGGCGGGGGGAGGGGGGGAGTACGGTCCATGTGTGGGGTCCCCTGGCAGAGTCAGCCCATATATACACACCTAGCAGGGTCCCCATCCTGCCAAATGTGATTTTCATCACGAATGGTTTGCCCTGACCTTTTATGACACGCTTTCTGCTTCGCCCTCCTAGGGGCCTCCTGGCCTGTGATTTTGCTGCTGCTCCAGCTCCTGAGCCTGTCCCTCACCCTTTGGGTCTGACATCAGACCAGCTCACGTGGCTCTGGCCCCGGCTGCCTCCTCAGCCCCAACTCCGGCCCATCCGGTGCTGCATGTCTCACAGTGCCGCATGGCCACGGCTCCCGCGCACTGAGCCTTCCCTCCGGCAGCTCAGCGCTCAGAGCAAAGCACACATCAGGGAGCCGTGGTCAAGAGCGCTAGCTGGGGGTCCAGCCAATCTGAGCTTGAGTCTCTGCCTTGAAATGAACCAAGCTGTACTCGTGGGCTAGTTATTTACCCTCTAAGCCTCAGGTTCTCTGTAAAATGGAGACAATAGCACCTATGAAGGCATCATCTGCAAACCTCCCTCCTGAGCACAGTCGGCCCCCTGTTTCTCCCCCACCACCTTCCTGATACATTATCACTCAGGAAGACATGGCAGCAGGCTTCCTGTTCTTCCCTTCCTGACCCCAGCTCCTTAGGAGTAACCATTCCAGGAAAGGACAAAGAGGGCCAAGAACATTGGATAGGATATTGGGAGCAGCCGAAAGTTGACAGACCAGAGGTCAGCCCAGGCCATGCCGAGGACTAGGCAGAAGCTGAGTGACTGGCTCCCTCCAACCAACAAGTTACATTTTTCTCTCTGGGCCTTATCAGTAAAATATGTAAACCCATCATTATTCATTGGACAAACATTAACATTCACTATGCACCAACTACTCTGCTAGCTGCTAGGGATAAAGAGTTAAATGAGAGGTCTCCGCCCTCAGTGAGGTTACGGAATACAGGAGAGATGAAGTAAACAGGCAGGTAGAATGCTATGTAACTGGTGTTCTCTTGGAGGTGAGAACAGGATGCTGAGGGTGAAAGAAATGAGGAACTACACTGGGGTGTCTGGATGTGCGTCTCCTTCCACAAACATTTACCAACTGCCTGCTTGTGCCAGGCAGCCAGAAAAGATGCCCCTGGACCAGCCTGAACCCCGTGGACCCTGGAATTCAGGAGAGATGATCTTGACATGTGTTTCAAAGGGCCAGCAACATTGCTAAAATAAAGAGAAGATAATCAAGTACAAAAGCAAAGAGGAGCATAGTAGCCTGAAGCTTTCGCAGAATCACTGGTGTAACCCGGTTAAAACCACGGAGCCCACGTGGCCAGGCCCATGCACGGGGCCAAAGTCAAAGGAACCATAAGTCCACTCTCAACACCTTGAAGAATGGAGGCTTCAGCTACAGGGTTTTTGGGGTTTTTCCAATTGAAGTGTAGTTGATTTATGATGTTAGTTTCAGGTGTGCAGCACAGTGATTCAGTTATACCTATGCGTACATATGTATATTTTTTTCAGATTCTTTTCCATTCTAGCTTATCACAAGAAATTGAATACAGTTCCCTGTGCTATATAGTAGGTCCTTGTTGTATATCTATTTTATATATAGTAATTTATATTTGCTAATCCCAAACTCCTAATTTATCCACACCCCCAGCCAACCTTCATAGGGTTTTTTAAATCAGAGCCTTCTCTGGGATTTTGTACAACTAACTACACAGAAAGCATGCCAGAAATCCTTCAAAATATCTTTCCCTCCCTCCAAAATTCCAGGATGCCTTTAAAAAATCTCTCCAGTTCTCTCTATATCTGGTCCCTTGTTTGCCATGCTCCTCTGTTCCCAATCCCCTTCCTACGTCATTCAGAGACCCAGACAAACAGCAGCTCTGCTGTCTTCAACACGTGGTTTTCAGGGTCTCTCTAGTTGTCACCATTCCCACCACCATGAAGGGAGAAAACACACAAGTCCAGGCCAGGGATTCCCTCTTAATTAAACAAAGTGGAAGGAGCATCCATTTCTTTCACTCACAAGCCAGTGTCAAGAACATGTCCCCATCCAGCTCCAGGATCCCCCGTCGTTGAACACGGCATGCCACAAAGTACCAGAAGTCTCTCTAGACACCCACTGGGGTACTCCTTTCATGCCCCTTCTCTTCCTCCTTTACTCTTTTCCCTCCCCCATCCTCACACACATACCACGCAGGCTTCCTTTCCAACCAGAAGAGCCCACTGGGTTTGCTGGCCATGCCGCTCTGAGACAGCTGGGGGACCTGGAGTCTTCCCCGTCCCCCAGCCCCCCTTCACTTCCCTCGAGGAGAGTGGGAAGAGCTCCCTGGCATGTGTGGTTGTTTCCCCACACTGTTTTCCTTCCCAAACATTCTCATGAGGCATTTCCAGTGAATAGATTCTTCACTTCATTACACAAGTAATTCAGGATAGCTGGACCAAGGGTGCGTGTCAGGGATTAGCAGGAGATTAGGCCAGACAGGTAGGCAGGGGCCAGAGCATGAGGACTTTATAAATCTGTGTTAACAAAGCTTCCTCTTTACGCAGAGGGCAAGAGGAAACCAGTGAAGTGCCTTAGGGGAGGCAGGAACCTGATTTGAGAGGTGTTTTAGAAAGCCATCCAGGTTATCATGGAAAGGATGGACAGGAGGGACTGAGGCAAAGACCTGTCGGAAGATTGTTGCAATAATCCTCTCCGGGCTCAGTTTCCTCAGCTGTAAAATGAGGAAGATAGTAGCTCTATACCATCAGGTGGTGCTGAGGATTAAAAGAGTTAAGGCATGGAGAGTGCTTACTTAGAACCGTGCCTGGTGCGTAGTAAGCCCTCAATACACATTGGCTGTTATTCTTAACCCAAGCAAAAGATGATGAGGCCGGTGCTAAGTAAGCAGTAGTGAAAATAGTAGAATCCATATTCAAGAAATGTTTTAAAAATTAGAAACTGGGAAGCAAGTGATAGTAACATGGAAGAGGAAGGAGTCAAAAAAGGACTACCAGTCACTGAGATTGAGATCTTACAGGGAGGGAGGTGACAAGTCTCGTTAGCTCTGAGATGCTCGCAGAACATCGCCCATGAGGAGATTTCAATTAGGCAGCTGAATCCACTGGTCTCGAAGCAGGAAGAGGTTGGGCTAAAGACTGGGATTTGGAGTCTTCACAGTAAACTAGTCACTGAAGTCATGGGAGCAGATGGCATTTCCTGGGGAAAGTGAACAAAAAGAGAGGAAGGTCCAAGAAGAGCCCTGGGGAACCTGGAAGGGTGAGAGAGAAAGGAACCTATGGAGGAAAAGGAGGAAGACTAGGTGTTGAGGGCGGCCAAATGTAAGTCAGGCCAGGAAGCAGAAGGTTCCATTGGCTCTGGTGAGAAACGTCACCGGGGGCTTCGGCAAGCAGTTTCAGAGGAGTGGTGGAGGCAGAACTGGGAAATGAAGGCAACATGAGGACAGGGTGACAGCAAGTGTGGTTCCTTGTTCAAGAGATTTGGCTTCGAAGGGAAGGGAGAAATAGAGGGAACGTGGAAGGAAAGGAGGCTCTAAGATGGAGAGATTTTTTTTAATTGAAGTATAGTTGATTTACAGTATTGTGTTAGTTTCAGGTGTACAGCAAAGTGATTCAGTTTATATACATATATATATATATACACACACACACACATATATGTTTTTTTTCAGGTTCTTTTCCATTATAGGTTATTACAAGATATTGACTATAGTTCCCTGTGCTCTACAGTAGGTCCTTGTTGTTAAGGTGGAGAGATTTAAGGACATGCAAATGCAGATGGAGAAAGAGTCAGGAGAGAGTAAGAGACAGAGGCTGAGGGTAGGGGATGGAGAGAGGTGGCAACAGTAGAGAAATGTCCCTTGGAGTAGAGAGGTTGCAGGCAGAGGGACTAGTCTTGGATGGGTGAGGTGAGGAGCAGACAAGCAGAGAATCACCGGGTGCAGACGAGCCTGGTGGGGCAGAGTGGAGGAGCTTGAGGACAGACCTGGATGTGACAGCTGAGCAGACTTTGTAAGCTATATGGCAGGCCACATGTGCTTAAGGGGTATTGTCATTACACAGCGACGGGTCAGGGACCCAAGGAGCCCCGGGTCAGGCTGGAGGGGAAACAGCACTTGAGGGTAGCAGGCCGGGCTTAGGGAAGTCAGGTGAAGGTGCAGGGAGAGTGAGCCGCACATGGGGGGACACGGGCTGAGCACGGCTGAGAGGGCTGGTCTGGACTGAGCCAGGCTGGCGCTACCTTTCTCCCATGCAGTGGGACTTGGTGTGCAGTTCCAACAAACTGAAGGAGATGGCCCAGTCTATCTTCATGGCGGGCATACTGGTTGGGGGGCCCTTGCTGGGAGACCTGTCTGACAGGTGAGATGCTGGGGCCTCGCAAGGGGAGGTATAACCCATGGAGACCCTCGCCCCTCTCTGTTCCACCCAGGCACCCCTGAAGAGGCAAAGAGCTGGGGGAGGTGGGAGAGGGGTCTTTGCTGTGTAGCCAGCCCTTTGGGGGCCATAGCCTTCTCTCTGCCTCCCAAACCCCTCCACCTTGAGTCTTCCAGCCTCCCCAGGCCTGGGGGTCATGCCTCAGGGTTTTTGGACACCAGAGTGGTGGCGTGGCAGTGGAAGTGGGTGGATGCCCAGCTTGGAGATGAGTGGTCCTTTGACCCCTGTTCAGACGGCTAAGCTGGGGGTGGAGGAAATCACTCATTAACTCAAACCTGTAACTGCAAACTTGTCAAAAATAATACAGCAATTTCCAGTAAGGCTCTATCTGGGGAGGGAGTTACACGCCCTGCCTGCCTTTGGGAGGTGGGAAGTCCAGCCCTTTGCCCTGAGGCCTGCATAGTCACTCTCCTTGGCTGGCTCACAGTGGCTAACCGACCCTCTTCTTCTTGGAGCTGCAGGTTTGGCCGCAAGCCCATCCTGATCTGCAGCTACCTGCTGTTGGCGGCCAGCGGCTCAGGCGCAGCCTTCAGCCCCACCCTCCCTGTCTACATGGTCTTCCGCTTCCTGTGTGGCTGCAGCATCTCAGGCATTAGTCTGAGCACCGTGATCTTGAGTGAGCCATGGGGGAGGGGGCAGGGAACGGGAGCTGGGGGAGCACCAACCTGAAGCCAAGAGTGGGGTCCGAGCCTGGCTCAGCCACCGGCGCTGGGTAACTTTGGTCAAGCAAGGTGCTGCTCCTCTCAGGACCTCAGAGGTCCCCCTCTGAACATAACATGAGGCGGTTCAATACGAGGACTTACCCTGGGCCTGGCACCTGCCAGGTACATGATCTCATTCAGTCCACACACACAGTTAGGTAATACTATTACCCTGATTCTACAGATGAGGGAATTGAGGCAAAACGAGGGGAGTCACCTACCACTGGGGAGGCAGTCAAGAGTGTGGGCTTGGGAGTCACACAGACCTGGGTTTAAGTCCTACCTTGTTGAGCCTCAGTCACAGTATCTGTACAATGGGGGCAATGCAGCCTTAGGATCAGGGTCAGATCAAGTAGCCAGTGAGGGGCAGGAGCTGATGCCCCTGCTAGGAGGTGCCCAGGGCTGAGCAGGGTCTTAACCTGGTCCTTGGGCTCTCCCTGCAGATGTCGAGTGGGTGTCCACCCGGATGCGGGCCATCAAGTCGACTGCGATTGGTTACTTCTACACCGTTGGCCAGTTCATTCTGCCCGGCCTGGCCTACGCCATCCCCCAGTGGCGCTGGCTCCAGTTAACTGTGTCTGTTCCCTTCTTCTCCTGCTTCCTGTTGTCCTGGTATGTGGCCCCCTCCTCTTCAGCCCCCTACATAGGCCCTCCATGGCTAAACGGGGAGCCCATGCCTGACCAGGCTGGCCGACTCTGTCTGTCCGGAGACTCCCCATCCCAGAGTCAGGAAGGGCATTCCAGGGAGGACATGCAGCTGGAGGGAGCGCTCAGGGGCTGTCCACAGTGGAAAACGGGGGTAAGTTGAGGTGGCTGGCATGGGGCCAGGCTGTGGCAAGTGGTGAGCCCAGAATGCCAGGGAGGCCTTGGCTTCGTGTGGAGGGACAGACCAAAATCCTGAAAGTCCTGACCAAACTGCCATTTGGGACATAATCACACAGGAGGGCAGATCCAAGTAAGTGGGGACAGGAGACAGAGGGAGGTGACTGTGGGCAGGAGGAGCCTGGGGGATGCATCTGAGAGGCACTTTGAAGGAATAAATCCTCAGAGCTTGGGGGCTTGAGTCTGAGATAGAAAGGAAAGGTAAGGTCAAACCTGAGAACCTGGGAGAATCAAGGGGCCTGGGGCAGAGACCCTGAGTAAGGACACACCGAAGACAGGAAACGAATCTGCGGGTGGTAGTTGGCAGTTGGCCAAAGAACAGGAAACAATGAACAAGCTCAGGAACAGACATGAAGTCTTGGAGGGACACTTTCTCAAGCACTTACTATGTACTTACTAAGTTCCGGGCATCAACCTATGTCATCCTGATGCTTATGGCATCTCTGTGAAGGGGGCATTAGGATTCCCATTTCACAGATGAGAAAACTGAGGATCAGAGAAGTGAAGCCATCCCCCAAGGTTACACAAAAAGATGCAGAACTGGAATGGGACCTCTGGAAAGGACAATAAGTTCCCAAGGGTAGTGGGCAATCTTGCGGTGAGAGAGATGGTTGGAGGGTCCAGGCTGGAGCTGGGGATGTCCACAGCCTCGGATGGGAGGCAAGAGTCAGGAAGCAAAATGAGGGCAGATGGTTAGCAGGCCCCTTCACTGCGTGACTTGGAACAAGCCTCACCCCCACTGAGCCTCAAGATTTTTCTAGGAAAAATGGAGATACTAATGCCCGTCACCCAGAGTTACCTGTGCCTGGTCCACGGGGAGGCTCACTAGTTGGAAGTCACTGTTGTCATTATTCTCAGGGAGAAGAGGACGGGATCCAGGCCCCGCCTCTGGTGTTTGGGAGGAAGTCACTGATCATCTTGGTAGGCACAGGCTGAGAAGACTGTCAGGACAGAAACAACACCATAAGGCCAGGAGGGTGGGTAGCAATGGACCCAGGAGGCCACCACTGGACCAGTGATCTGAGACCAAGTGACCAATGTCCACTCCCCCTAGGGTCTTGCTAGAGCCAAGCCCTGGGTGCCCATAGGGGCCACAGCCAGAGTGGACCTCACCTTGGACTAGACTTTCCCAAGCATCCCTCCTTTCTCCCCACATGTCTGCCTCCTCCACTCCTCTTCACCCAGTGACCTTCAGGGGTGGCTCAGTGTGAACCAACCCCAAAAGTACAGCCCGGGCATGGGGGAGAGGGAGCTTGGTCACACACCGGCCAATCCCAAGACCCCATGCTGTGCTAGCACCCACCCTTCCCGAGCAGATCTGGCCTTTTTCAGGGAGAATCAAAGGGTCCTCAGACTCATTCCCTGGGTCACAACCCTAAACTTGGCCCCCTTCCTAAGCTGCCCCAGGACTGCAGCCCTGCCCCCACTTCACCCAGGACCTGGAATGCACCCCAAAGGAGGTGGACATGCAGGACCCTCCAGCTGTCCAGTCTCGAACATACAGTCCCTTCCCTAGGCCCGACCTGCCTTGGCCCAGGGCCCAGGGCTCCTGGCTAAGAACGACACCCAGGGACAACAAGCGACCCAGGTGGGGGCGGAAGAAAGGCTCTCCTGGAAAGAGACGAAGAGAACACTGGGTTTGTGCTGGCTGCAGGCTGCCCAGGTGCAAGGCGTGGCCAAGTCTAAATTCCATGAAATCCACAGTGAGGCAGCTCGAGTTTCCGGGCCTCCTACCCCTCGGCCTGCTATTGATCTTCTTCCAGACTCTCAAAGGAGAGGAGGGTGAGCCACTGTGACTTGATTCTGGTCCCCCAGGTGGCTGCCAGAGTCCATACGTTGGATGGTCCTGTCTGGAAAGTCCTCCAAGGCCCTGAAGACACTCCGGCAGGTCGCTGCCTTCAATGGCAAGAAGGAGGAGGGAGAAAAACTCAGCCTGGAGGTAGAGGCTGAGAGGGTCTATTGTCTCGGGCAGAACCTGGGCTCTGCTTCTGGGCTGCCCCTGCCTCCTCTGTTTCCCCCACTCACAAGCCAACCTCATATCTAATGCCCTAAGCAAGCTTCTCTGAAGTCGCAGGCCTGCACCGCCCTCTCTTCTTCTTCCTGCCCCCAAGCTGGTCAGTAATGGCCCTCTCCCTTTCTTCTGCCCCAAGGAGCTCAAACTCAACCTGCAGAAGGAGATTTCTTTGGCCAAGGTCAAGCACAGCTTAGCTGACCTGATCCGGACACCCATCCTGCGCCGTATGACCTTCTGTCTTTCCCTGGCCTGGTAATCCACCACCCCTCCCTGCCCACACCCTAGCACCCCCACCAAGGCAGGAATGACAAACAGGCCTCAGCCAGCTCATCTGAGGACAAGGCCTAGGGCATCTGCAAGAGGAGTCAAGGGATCCCCTCCTCTGGGCTGCCCCAGCCTAGCCCCAACCCCAGAAACCTCCCACATCCCTGCCCCACACCCAGGTCCAGCCATCAGGTCCTGCTTTCCTCTGGGATCACACTCACCTCACCCACAGGGCAATGCTCCAAACCCCATCACCAGTTTACATCCCTGCCATGGCAGTTCCCTCAGGATGTGCCTCTCTGTCTCTGCCCCCACCACCACCCCTGGGTCCAGTTCTGCTCCTGGGACCCTGCAGAACAAGGCTGGCTCTCAAGGCTTCAAGACTTAACCACAGAAATCGTGTTTCTCCTGAGAAGCCTCTTCTGTCTGGCATCCTGCAGCTCCTTCATAGCCCCTTCTGAGGCCCTTCTCCATCCTGGCCATCCCCATATGAAAAGGATTCAGTTTGTTCAGGAACTCTTCAAAAGGGATCCTACATTTTGGAAGGCAGGAAGGGAGGCATCTGGCCCATATGCACAGCTGACTTTCACCTCCTCCCTTCTGGGTATTAAACCATGACCCAACCAAGAGAGATCATTTACTGCTCTCTTTGGTCTCCAAGAGTCTCTCCAGGATGGATATTCTCTGGAGCATCTTTGCAACCACACCATAGACCATGCCCCTGTCAGACATAACCAATCAATCCCAGCACTCGCACTGAGCCCAGACACAATCTTAGAGACCTCAAAACGGTACTCAAGCAGCCCCTACCAATCAGTGGCAATTGGGACAAGAAATGAAACTATTCATCATCCTGGTGACCCAATAAGCCGGATGAGGAGCGGCCCCAGCCTGGCTGCAGGTCTTACTCAGTTGATCTCTGCCCTTCAGGTTTTGCACCGGTTTTGCCTACTACAGTTTGGCTATGGGTGTAGAGGAATTTGGAGTCAACCTCTACCTTCTCCAGCTCATCTTTGGTGGGGTTGACATCCCAGCCAAGTTCATCACTATCATCTCCATAAGCTATCTGGGCCGGCACACCACAGAGGCCGCTGTTCTACTCCTGGCAGGAGGGTCCATCCTGGCTCTCATCTTTGTGCCCTCGGGTGAGAAGCTGGGGCTACCCTAGGACCCTCTGAAAGAGGCTGACCTGTGAGGCCAGTGTGTCTGTGAGAATCACAGGCTGGGAAGTGGGGTCCCGGGGACCCCAGCTGTGCTGACTCTGCCTCTCACTCACTCTGTTACCTTGAGCAGATCCGTGTGCTCTCTGGGGCTCAGTTCTCTCATCCAGAAAATAACTCAGTTGGGTGAGATGGTGTTGAAGATCTTTTCCAGATCTGACTTAAACTGGGCAAAGCATGGTGGTGTCTGCACAGTGGGAGGAACTGGGCATGGCCTGGGTGACGTCACTGCAGAAGATGAGCTTGGATGGGGAAACATCAGAGCCCAGTGTTCAAGGAACACCGCACAACCTCCTCCTCCGCCACCTTGGAAGAGCCACTTCTACTTCACATAAATGCTTGTGTGTTGACACACTATTCTTCCAAAGAACTTGAGATGTTTTAGGACAAAAACAGTACAACAAAATATAAGAAGAGGGGATCAGAGCCAGGGAAAGACACACATGCAGCAGGACACAAGCCGGCAAAGCACTAGGAATAGCAGAGGGGCTATTACTCGGCTTTAAGTTTGATCTGAGCTTTCCAGCAGCCAAAACAGAAAGGGAGACAAGGTCTGCTGAGGAGTGAGAACACTCAGGTGCGCTTGAGCGCCAAGGTCCGCCGTATTTTCCTTCCTCCAGACTTGATGACCCTGAGGACAGTTTTGGCCGTATTTGGGAAGGGATGCCTGTCCAGCTCCTTCAGCTGCCTCTTCCTCTACACAAGCGAGCTCTACCCCACGGTCATCCGGTAGGTGTGGGACCTGGGGTCCAACCAGCCAAAGGATACAAGGCAGGTGGGATTGTGGCATCCTTCCACCCCTGCCCACAGGTCCCAGAGCTGTTCTTTGGGACTGGTTTGCCAACCCCTTCTTTGAACTCTCCCAGGCAAACAGGTATGGGCGTAAGTAACCTGTGGGCCCGCGTGGGAAGCATGATGGCCCCGCTGGTGAAAATTACAGGGGAGTTGCAGCCCTTCATCCCCAATGTCATCTTTGGGACCATCACCCTCCTAGGAGGCAGCGCAGCCCTCTTCCTGCCTGAGACGCTCAATCGGCCCTTGCCAGAGACTATTGAAGATGTAGAAACCTGGTCAGTCCCCTGCCTCCAGCCCCACCAACGCTCCTCCATGAGGAAGCCCCGGGCTTTTCCTGAGCAATCTTTCCCTAGGTCCCTGCGGGCAAAGAAGCCAAAGCAGGAGCCAGAAGCAGAAAAGGCATCCCAGAAGATCCCTCTGCAGCCTAGTGAGCCGGGCCTGGGCCGCAGCTGAGGGCAACAGACTGTCCTTCCCCTGCCCTTCAGAGACTAACCCTTGCCTGTCTCTGGGCTCCGAGGGCACCTTGGGGATGGCCCTGGATGGATCCATGTTCCTAGGACACAGTCTTTGGAGAACTTGGTGAAGTTCACCAACAGAGGCCCCCAACCCAGCCCTGGCCAGCTCAAAGTTTGGGCCACAGGCTTTTGCACAACCCACCTTGCCTGCATCCTCCCTGCAGCCCAGGCTGACATTCTTCTGTCCAGCCCTTCCCCACTGGCCACTTCCCCCATTGTTCCCACCCTCTTCCCTCTCTTGCTCCTCATTTTTCAATGGGAGATTTCAATAAACAGCAATGGAGAACTCGAGCCATGCTGATCAGGAATGGGCATGGGAAAGGGAGCAGGCCACCACATGGATGTGTGAACAGGCACATCTGTGCATCCGTGCTTGTGTGCACATGCAGGTATGCACACACAGGTACTTGCAAGCTGGGCTGATATGAACATGTGTGTGTACTGTGAGTACACTGAGGTGTGTATACACCAAGCCTGTATTAGCCTGCTCGGGCTGCTATAACAACATGCCACAGACTGGATCACTGAAACAATTTCTTCCTCACAGTTCTGAAGGCTAGGAAGTCCAAGATCCAGGTGCTGGCAGGCTCAGTTCCTGGTGGGGGCCGCCTTCCTGGCTTGCAGATAATCAGATGCCTTCTCACTATGTCTTCACATGGCAAGAGAGGGAAAGATGAAGCAAGCTATCGGTTTGTCCTCTTATAAGGGTACTAATCCCATCACAAGGGCCCCATCCTCATGACTTCCTCTAACCCTAATTACCTCCCAAAGGCCCCACCTCCAAATACCCTCACATTGTGGGTTGGGGCTTCAACGTATGAATTTGGGCAGGGACACAAGGTAGTCTATAGCACATCTTGTGCTTGGAAATACCACGTGTGTCTACATGTCCCATCATGCATGTAAGCACTTGACTGCACAAGCCCAGAATGGCTGCAGGCAGAAGCCAGGGCTTCTTCAATCCCAAACTCCTTCCCCCTGCTCACCCCAAGTCTCTGATTCATGTCCCAGCCCCACACCCATCAGGCAGCTTTGTCTCCTATTTAATTAAGAACGCTGCAGCCATAACTGAACTCTGTCAATATCCACCACGTTTACCAAGTTTCCTCCAATCACAGTAGAAAGTCCGGTCCTCTCTGCATCCAGCCTCTCCCACCAGCAGCCATCTGCTTTCCCGCTTGGGTCTCTGCCCATTCCCTCTCTCCTGGCTCCTTCCCATCACCTGTTGAATAATCTCTCTTATCTCAACACACATCAATCCAACCTTCCTTGGATGCCATATCTCCCTCCAGGGGCCACACTGTCTCTTTCTCCCTCCCCTTTGCAGCCAAACTTCACAAAGTTGCTGCCTGTCTCCCTTACCTCCACTTTCTAACCTCATCCAAACTCACTCTGGCTCCCACCCTTCCCTGAAACTGCCTTTACTGAGGACACTCATCACCCCCATGCTGAATCCATAGGTCACTTGTCACCCTTTCTCTTGACCTTACAGCAGATTTCATTCACTCTGTCGCTCATGCCCTCCTTCCCTGCTTTCTGAGATGCCATGTGCTTACAGCTGCCTCCCATACTCTGGCTGCTCCTTCTGTCTCCTTTGCAGTTTCCTGTAAATGCTATGGTGGTCACTTTGCCTATCCTTCCTCAAAGGTCTACCTCCCCAGAACCTGCTAACTGAACAGTTACATGACCCTACACCTCTCTGGTCATGATTGATTGGATCAGAGGGTACTCTAGATCCAAATCTCATTAATTCCATGTTCCCTCCTGGGCTGGGATTTGGGTCATGGAGATTCTGGACCATCATTTGTTTCCTGTCCTGGGAAGGCAAGTTAGCATGAGGGTGGGCTGGCCCAGATGAAAGTAAGCAGAGAAAGACAATTGCAGAGAAAGAATAAAGCAGGTACACAGAGAAATGACCAGGAGACACAATGGACCCAGATAAACAGAGCTGGTGAGACCATTTGCATTGATTCTCAGTGGATTCCAGGTCCCAGTTCCCTCTCAGCCCTGGATGCTCTTTCTGCCCTGGGTTCTATTATATATCCTGAATTCTCTGAATAAACTCCTTTTTAAAAAGCTAAACTCAAGGGTTTCTGTTCCTGATAACCAAACAATTCCAAGAGCAATTCCTTTATCATCTCAGTGCTGACATTTCTCAAAATCCTTTCCTAGGACCTCTTCTCTAGGATTCTTTACCAGCACTGTCCAATGAAAATATAATGCAAGCCACTCATGTAATTTAAAAATTCCTAGCAGCTATTTTTAAATTAAAAAGATGAAATTAATTTTAATAATATATTATATACTATAACAATATATTTTATTTAGCCCAATATATCCATGTATTACCATTTCAACTTGTGATCAGTATAAAAGTTATAAGTGAGATATTTTATAAAAGGCTTTAATTCATACTAAATCTTCAAAATCTGGTTTGTATTTGACCCTAGCAGCATACCTCCATTTCAAGTAGCTAAGTTCCAGCACTTAGTAGGAGGTAAGAGCTAATGGCTACCATACTGGGTAATGCAGACACACTGCAGGGCTTCAGTTATCAGCCACAGAGCTAATTACTCTCAAATCTGTATTTAAATATTTGCAAGAGAGAACCTAATAAACATGAACCAGCCCATACCACACCTCCACTTCAACTTTTTGGTGACTTCTCTTTGGGATAAAGTCCAAACTCTGTTGCAAAGCTTGTCATGATCAGGCCCCAACCTGCCCCAAGGGTTTTGTCTTCACTTCTCTTATGCCTGCCCTTCCCACGTGCCTAGCATTTGACTTCTCTCCATCCCAACTCCACCACACTTGGCTTAGGGTCAGCTGACAATGGGGCCACCAGTGCCTCCCCTTGGCATGAGTAGGTCTCAAACTGGATGGAGAAGAATTGGGCTCAGTGAAGAACACTAGCCCCCTCACTTCAATCCCATCTTTCAGTTCTCCAGAATTCAGGGTAGCTCCCAGGATGTCCTAGCCATGAGCATTCCTGCACTGTATCTGGGTGGTTATTGCAAAGACCCAAAGGAAAGTAAGGGAAGATGCCCAGGAAAGCACTTCCTAGCCACATGTTCAGGACTCCTGGTGAACTGGGATGCTGGTCAGGATGTACTGACCTCCCCCCACCACAGGACCCATTCTTCTTGCCATACCCAAACCTCCATTCTGGATTTCACTCTGTCCAACTCTGCTTCTTCCTCTACAACTCCAGGTCCTCCAGGTTTCCCTACTCCTTTCTCTCTGTCCCTGGACTGGGAGGCTCAGTGAATTGCCTCATTGAATTGAGGCAACTAGCTCAGCGAATTGCCATCCAGTATGGAGTGCCTCGCTTGGGAAGCATCCTCATGCTGAGCCAATTCTTTGATTACTAGACTCAAGTCCAGCCTTTAATGGCAGTCTTTGGATGAATTTCTAATCTCTGAATGAATTTCTAACCTCACCCATTGGCCAGGGTAGACAGGCCACAAGGTGTAAAGCTCACAATTTGGCTCCTTGCTCAGAATGTTGCTGTGGGCCTGGCAAGCACTTGGAGTCTGCCAGAATTCTCTCCAGGTCAATCGGTTCAAACTCACACTTAGGGCATGTGATCTGAGCAAAGGTGTTTTCTTTATCTGTAAATTATTTATTTGAAAAGTCTCACAAAATAATCAAAATCAAAACCACAGGTAGTCACACACCTTAAATCCCATTTATTTAACAGAATAAAATTTTACAAAATCTGGATGTCTCAGAAAATCTGGGATATGTAATGGCTGCTAACATGGTAGAAAGAGCAATGAAATCAAAAGGACTGAGTTCTAGATTTGCATGTTGTGTGGTCATGGACAAATCCTTTGCCTGCTCTGGGCCTTGGTCTCCTTACCTGCACAAGAAGTTTTCACCTGTGTGATAGCATTCATTTCTAATGGCATGTGGTTCCATGGCTCTTGGCCATTCAGAAGTCTCCAGATCTGACCCCGTCTCAGTGAGCATGGCTAGAACTTAAGTCCACATTCCTGTCAGCACAGAGGAGTCCAACCCTGGGTGTTTATGAACCAAAATGTCCCTAAAGGATAGTTCCTGGCTCTACAAATCATTTGCCATGGGAGCATTTCTATCCAGGAACTCTCCATGACCTAGGAGGCTGGTAGGGAATCCTCTCACTAACCAAATGATCCCAGGAACCAACTGCAACTGAGTCCCTAGTTTCCAGCTGAGCCTTTTACAGACGGAGCTTGGCTTGGAGCTGATCAGGCACTAGGGAGGGAGCTTCTTCCCCAGGCGGGACTGGACACAGGCTCAGAGAAGGAGGGTGTTTGTAGGGGCCCATCATCTCCCGCACTGCCCTCAGCACTCCATCCACTCCCCCATGAGGGCAACAAGTCCTGGCAGGAGACTGGCCCCAGAACCCCCAAGCTGTTTGTCCAGCTGTCCTCACATCCCCAGGCCACAAGGCTCTTATATACCTTGGCCTGGAGAATGTTGTCAGGCATCTGGACACCAGCCGGGCACCAGCCCAGAACCAGCACTGGGTGAGAGGAGGGAGGCTGGGTGGAGCCACATCCCCCTTTGGGCCCTCCTCTATTCTCTTCTGTACACATGAGATCCAATGGTCTCCAAGACCTCTTTAGCTGGACAGTCGACACCTCTAGAGTAGCAGTTAAAAACTTGACTTTGATGTTAAGTAGAATAGATTTGAACCTGTCTAAGACGTTATATACCCCAGGACGTTAATAGACAATAAACACTCTCCCAGCTTAATACACAAAAGTATAGATTGTGTAATCTGTACAATGATAACAGAGCATCTTGACTCTTTACACGAGAAGTTGGAAATCAAACTGCTTCCCCTCAACAAGACTTGGGGATTTGTGCCCGTGAGAACTGACAAATGCCCCTTCCCTTCATGACCCTTTGCATCAGCTAATTTGTACAGGACCTGGTATACCTCCTGTAAAAGTAATGGAATCCTAACAATCCATTGTGTTCAGACATATGCAAAATATCTGATGTGGGCTAGAGAAAGTCAGTAGAGGGAAGATTACAGAGAGGGACAGCCAGAGACCCAAAATGGTAACACACCACAAAGGGCAAGAAGGGATCTAGCAAAGTAACTCGAGCCCAGCAATCGAGTTAGAACACAGAAAGAGCGTTGACCTGGACAGGGGAGACCAGTCTTGATTCAGCTGCTCCAGTGGCAAAGCTGATGCACTAGGCACAGGTAGGCAAAGAGTTGCAATACTTTGGAGCCCAAGACACTCTGCTGTTACTCAGAAGAGGAAGAGGAGCTCTTGTCTTCACCTTGCAAACATTTCCACACTCAAATAAGAGTGTGGGGATTCTTAGAAATATTTTAGTAGGAGTCATCCATCTGACTGTAACATCCTTTGCCAAGCAGGTATGGGACTGATGATGACACAAGTCTGGAGTGTCTTTTAGGGCTGGTTTCACAACCTTGAGCACTGGTGACATTTTAGGTCTGGAAAAGTCTTGATTATGGGGCACTGTCCCATGCCTTGTAGGATGCTCAGCAGCTTCCCTGGACACTACCCACTAGATGCCAGTAGTACCAGCTCCCCCAGTGGTGGCAACCAGACATTGCCACATTTTCCCCGGGGGACAAAATCTCCCCCAGTGGAGAATCTCTGTTCTGAGGGTAGGATGTACTTAGGCATATCTTCTTTCTAAAATCAATGTGAGAGTCTCACCTTTTTACCAGAAACAAATAATAAGAACAGCTCAGGATCACTGAGCCGCAGGGCAGAGACTACCTTACGATCTTTACCTCTATTTGCTCATTTAACCCTCCAAAAACCCCGTGAGGCAGACACAATTATTATCCCCATCTTGCAAACAAGGACACTGAGATACAACGGAGTTTAGCAACTTGCTTACGGCAAGTGTGGAATGAGGACTTGGATCCAAGTAAACTGACTCCAGAGTCCATGTTTTATATAATATGCACTCGGCAAATGAAAAGCAAGAAGCTGCAACCTGCTTGCTTGGCATCCCCAACCCATGATCCAATCAGCAGGAGCCCATAAAAACCCATCCAGTCAGACCCTGGCACCGCCCTGAGCATGAGTGACCAGGACTCAGGAGCCAAATTGTTGGAGGAAATCAAGTGATTATCTTACAGTTGAGGTAAAAGTAAACAAGTTCATGCTCATGGTAAAAGAAGAAGAAGAAGCTATAGACAGAAGACAAGACAATGGACAATTTTGAACTAGGATAAGCAAGAAGGTAAAAGCTGAGACACTGGAAGGATTCCAATTGAGCAAAGCAGTGGCCCTACAAGATGTAAGCTTTCCCCAGAAGACCAAAGATCAGGGTAACCAATTTTAGCAAATAAGAACACAGGATACCCACTGAAGTTTGAATTTCAGCTGAATAATTTTTTAGTATAAGTATGCCCCCATGTAATATTAGGGACATACTTACACTAAAGAAAAAATTTTGTTTGTTGACCTGAAATTCAAATTAACTGGGTGTCCTGTATTTTCTCTGGCAACTCTCCCCAAGGACAGACCATTTGGATGCTGTCCGCAAGAAAGGACGGAAGCCCTGTAAGAGGCCAGCACACATCCCAGAGCCCAGTTTTCTCACTAAAAGGAAGACAAAAAGGCCCCACCCCACCCCCTCCGGCCCCCAGATGCCCAGGTGGGCCCTCCCAGCCCATCGCTTCCCATCACCCCCACTTCAGTCTACTCTCTCCTGCCCTTTACACCCACTTGGAAAAATTCCACCGATAGAAGGATAGTCAGAGGGTTAATCCTTCTGATACCAAGTCACACTTTAACTCATTCCCTCCAGGCCAAGGATTAAATACTGCCCGTTAGGGGTCAGGGCTACAGCAGACCCTGAAGCCTACGCAACGCCCCCACCCAAAGTGAGCAGAGGCTGCAAAAGAAAGGCAGAAACAGGACAAAGAGAGAAGGAAAAGGAGGGGCAGCCTGGCCGGCTGCTGTCCCCCCGCAGAGCCAGCTCAGATTCAGTTCCAGGAGCAACTCAGCTACAGAAGCAACGGCAGGACCTCTCCTCCAGTGAAGAGCAGCAGGCAGACACGCAGACCGAGGGCCTGGGACTGGAAGTCCTCAGCCCCCAGCCGCTCGGCCAGGCCTGGCCCCATGGCCTTCAATGACCTCCTGCTGCAGCTGGGGGGCGTCGGCCGCTTCCAGCAGATCCAGGTGGCTCTGGTGGTCCTGCCCCTGTTCCTGTTGGCTTCCCACAACACCCTGCAGAACTTCACCGCTGCCATCCCCAGCCACCACTGCCGCCCACCTGCTCACAGCAACCTCAGCGAAGATGGGGGGCTGGCGGCCTGGCTGCCGCAGGACAGGCAGGGGCAGCCCGCATCCTGCCTCCGCTTCACCTCCCCACAGCGGGGACCACCCTTGCCCAATGGCACAGAGACCAACGGCACGGGGGCCACCGAGCCCTGCAGCGACGGCTGGATCTACGACAACAGCACGTTCCCTTCCACCATCGTGACAGAGGTGAGGAGACCTGGGCCCTCCTGCTCTGAGACACACGCACGCGCGCACGCATGCACAGACTAGTGCAGACTCTCCAGAGGCCAAGACAGGAAAATGGAGAAAGGGGTTCAGGATGGGAGCCTTTGTAGAAAAGGTGGATGTGGGAGTCGTGGGGTCAGGAAAGTCTCTCAGCTCCTGAGACCAAGGAGACAAGCAGCTAGGAGAAGTGTCAGGAGAAGAAGGTGACACAGACCTCAGAGGGCCAGCCGGAAGGAGGGTAAGGCACTGCCCTGCGGCCCGGGCTCACCTCAGCCTGACCTTTGCCCCCTCTCCCCACAGTGGGACCTCGTGTGCTCTTACAGGGCCTTACGGCAGCTGGCTCAGTCCTTGTACATGGTGGGGGTGCTTCTCGGAGCCATGATATTCGGGTACCTGGCAGACAGGTCAGTCCTGGGCAGGGCCAGGGAACCAGGCTGAGACCGGGGGATCCTCGGCTGGGCTCAGGGGGGAGGTCGGCATTCCCAGCTGGGACTGGTTTGATGACCAGCAGCACCAACCTCATGAGAGGTCACGGGCCCTGGGCTCCCCCAGGGCTAGTGCCCCTCTCCCGCTTCAGCCTGGCCCCTGCTGGCCCTCTGGACCCCTGCTGCTGCAGGTCTTCCCTCCCCCATAGGCTGGGCCGCCGGAAGGTGCTGATCTTGAACTACCTGCAGACGGCTGTGTCGGGGACCTGCGCGGCCTTCGCTCCCAACTTCCCCGCCTACTGTGCCTTCCGGCTCCTCTCGGGCATGTCGCTGGCTGGCATCGCCCTCAACTGCGTGACACTGAGTGAGAGAGGCCCGGAGGGCAGGGCGGGCCCCCATGCACTCCTCTCCAACCACCCAGCCCCTTGGCCCCTTTCCAGCCTCCTCCCCCAGCCCACCCCTCCTGCACTCAGCCTGCTCTCGGCCTGTTCTTTGGGTCTGCCCTTCCAGCCAACATAACAGCCTATTTCCCTGGGCTCACAGCATCCTGTCCTCTCATTTAGACACAGGATTGCAAACCCCATTTTTAGGGCCAGGTAGTTCCCATAAAAGACTGAAGCAGACGAGAGGTGTTAGGGAGTGCTGAGGACTGTCTCCAAAGGAGAGTCGCAGCAATCCAAGATGCCACAGCCACTCAGCTGCTGGAACCAGGAAGCTTCAGGGCTGTCAGATTGTTCCCCCTTCCTTTCGTCAATGTAAAATATTTCAGTTTTTTAATGTTTGCAATTAATTCTAATGTTTTTAACATAGGGCAAGCCAGCATCATGTAGACCAAAAGCATTTATGGGCTGAGCATGGCCTGTCCACGAGCCATCAAAGTGCATCCTCTGACAGGTCACCCCCCTTTTCCCCTGTTTCTCAGATGAGGAACCCAAGGCTGGGGAGAAGGGAAAGGGTTTACCCAAGCCCAGGAGGGAACCTAAGGATTCAGATTCTCTGGACTAAAGAAATTAAGTGGGCCTGGGCTAGGGCTGGAGCAGCACACCTAGAGAATCCAGCCCCAACGCCCAGTCTGAGTTCTCAAGCCAATGCCCCAGCAGCCGAATCAGGAGCGCACAAGGACCGCAGCAGAGAGGTGGTCCCCCTCCGACCTCAATTCTCCAGGATGGATGAAAGCCGCTGCCCCCCTCTGAGCTGCTCTAGCCACTAAGGCTGGAATCCAGCCCAGGCTGAGGACGACCAGAGGCATGGCCGCTGTTGATGATGAACTGAGCGGTCAGAACCACCCCAGAGGGAAACAGGCCCCTGGCCAGGACAGTCGGTTGGGGAGGAGCAAAAATGTAGCAGGGGAGTGAAGCGGACAACTCCTGGGAATTCCAAACCTATTTCCCCCTCCCTACCTCCACCGCAGTCCCCCTGCCACGGCACCTAACCTCATTTGATGTATCTTCCGCTGAGCCTTGGGACAGACCGAGGTGTACACGGAGAGAGGAGTCTTGGCCTGCACCAGGGGTCTTCACCCACCTGGCACCCCGTAAGGTGCACCACTCCATTCTAACCCTCTTTTCAGATGTGGAATGGATGCCCATCCACACACGGGCCTATGTGGGCACCCTAATCGGCTATGTCTACAGCCTGGGCCAGTTTTTCCTAGCTGGTGTGGCCTACGCTGTGCCCCACTGGCGCCACCTGCAGCTGCTGGTCTCCATGCCCTTTTTTGCCTTCTTCATCTACTCCTGGTACGTTGGGTCCAGGGTGGGTGGGGATGCCACAGGAGCCCAGAGGGATATGAGGGACAAGAATTCCCCCAGATCTTGCCACACACTCCACCCCACAGAATTAGGGAAGGTCAAACCCAGGCCGGTGACTCAGTGTGACAAATGGGGAAACTAGACTGCAGGCAGAAGGACTTGCCCCAGGGTGTCCAGTTCTCCGGCTTTCCCCAGTTCTCCAGTCTGCCTGCACTGCTCCCTTTACCCAGCACCCAAGAGCTGAGCTCCCATGCTGGGGAATGAGTCATCACCAAGCTGGGCACTGCTCTGTGGTCCTAGAGAAAGGGACTTGGCAAAGTCCTGGGTTCCCAGCCTTAAATAAAGTCCCACTGCAGATCTCTGGAAAGCCCACACCCTACCTCCAGCCCAAATGGCTGGGACTGGAGCCATGCCAACACCCACACTCACCCCTGCTCCCAGGTTCTTCATCGAATCGGCCCGCTGGTACTCCTCTTCTGGGAGACTAGACCTCACCCTGAGGGCCCTGCAGAGAGTGGCCTGGATCAATGGGAAGCGAGAAGAGGGGGCCAAGCTAAGTATGGAGGTGAGACCCCCAAGACCTCCCCTGACAGCCCACCAGGGCTCCATCCCCAAAACTAAGACTCAGAGGACTTCTCTGAATGAGGGGCTAGGCTGGGAAGAGCTTCTGGAGAAGTCCAAGCCCTGAATCCCATCCATCCCGGCAGGTGCTCCGGGCCAGTCTACAGAAGGAGCTGACCATGGCCAAGGGCCAGGCCTCGGCCTTGGAGCTGCTGCGCTGTCCCGCCCTTCGCCGCCTCTTCCTCTGCCTCTCCATGCTGTGGTAGGCCCAGACAGACAGACTGATGGACAGACAGACAGACCAAGAGACAAAAGGCAGGGTGGGGAAAGAGTGGGTGCAGTGGGTAGAAGGCAGACAAGAGGCAGGAAGTCAGCAGACCAGCCACAAGAGGCAGTAATCCTCCACCAGAGAGTCTTGAAGAACTAGATGACCTCCAGCATCTATTCACTTCCAGTCCCCAAACTAAGCGTCAGTCTCTCCATATTCTTCTCCTTTTATCAGCTCTGTTTCAATTTGGAAACATCTCCATATTGGATTGGTGGCCCCCAGAGTCACCAGAATTATGTCAAAAGGCAGAGACAAGTCTGGCTTCCAAAACATTTGAAGACTTTACCAGCCTTGGGGTGCCTGCAGGAAACACGGGCACAGGCAACAAGATGCCTAAAGCTCCTCTCTGAAAGTACACTTCGGCCAAGGTTGATAACAGCCAAACACCTTCCTTTCCTGTTGCAATATTCGCCTTTGCCGTTTTTATGTCCCACCTTCCCAACCCCATCATCACAGCAGTCCCACTGCAGTTGAGGGAAACATGGTCAGGAGTCAGAATGAACAATCTTGCCAATAAATTCTTTGCTTCCAATTTGGGACTTACTCTGGGGTGAGGGTTCCATCCAATAACCTGAGCTTTATCTTCTGGGCTCTTGACTTCTCAAGAAGCACAACACCCATCCCAGGACCACGGACAGATCCTGGAAGGCTCTGGCCTCTCCCAGTACCTTGACCTTAAAGACATGACCTGGATATGCCTTCCTTCAGTCCAGTATCCATAGATAAGATAAAGACGAAAACTATGTAAGTCCTACAAGGCAACTAAGTGAAAATTCCCTAAGACACTGGGAGCACTATTAGAAGACTGAGAAATTTAGGGTATTAGAGGACTATCCCAATACTTGAAGTGCATATTAAATGTCAGAAGAAACATTAGCCAAGGCGGATTCCAAACTCTTCAGCAGGGTACCCTGTGCAGCTCACCCCTGTTTTGGATAAGCACCTCCCCTCTTAAGCTTCCTAACAAACTCCATACCCTTCAACCCTCCCCACTAGGTTTGCTACTAGCTTTGCTTACTATGGGCTGGTCATGGACCTGCAGGGCTTTGGGGTCAGCATCTACCTAATCCAGGTGATCTTTGGTGCTGTGGACCTGCCTGCCAAACTTGTGTGCTTCCTTGTCATCAACAATATGGGCCGCCGGCCCGCCCAGATGGTCTCACTGCTGCTGGCAGGCATCTGCATCCTGATCAATGGAGTGATACCCCGGGGTGAGCACCCATGAGCATCTTGGTACCTCATCTTTGGCCATATCCTCAGACATGACCCAACTTCTCAGCCCCCACTCTCGAGACCCCACTGACACCCTCCTTTCTCTGTAGATCAGTCCATTGTCCGAACCTCCCTTGCTGTGCTGGGGAAGGGCTGCCTGGCTTCCTCCTTCAACTGTATCTTCCTGTACACTGGGGAGCTGTACCCCACAATGATCCGGTGAGTGGGAACTTAATGGGAGGGGTTTTGGAGCAAGACATTCCCCTGCACACAGGTCAGATCCCAGCGCATGGTCCAGTGTGCCCCAGCCCAAGGCCCCGTCCCAGCACCCATCAGTGCAAAGTCCCTGTCAGCCACTCAGTACACACTTCGTGGCTAACACAGTTGTGGCTGCCCCCAATCCTTACCTGACCTGAGAAGGTCTCAAAAGGAGCCACCAACTGGGATAGGGTAGGGAGATAAGAAGACACATCTCACAGGCAGTTAATCGAAGTCCTCCCTGAGTCTCCAAAGTGCAAGTTAGAAGCTGCCATGAAATCTAAATTCTATCTTTAAACCAAATGCTATGTCTAAAACCAAAGACCACAAACATGAAAGTAATTTCTTATCACAAGAGCCACAGTTAATAATGGTGGTACTGGTGGTTGTATGGATAAACATAGCACCAATTTTTTGAGTGCCAAGGATGGAGGGAGGTGGTATTTCTCAATTAAGACGCAAGAAACACATGTCTATTTTAAGGATGGAATGCCAAATTCATATGAGATGTCAAAGAAATGCCAGGCTTCTCCATGCTACTTAGAATGAGAACGTTGAGAGGTCATGGTTTCTGTCCTGTACCCTCATGGGACTGCACTGAAAGAACAATAGTATAAAGCACCTACTTTGTGTCAGGCACTGTCAAACTTTTTACAAATATCAATTCATTTGATCCTCATAGCAAGCTTATGAGGCAGATATTATGATAATTTCCATTTTCCAAATGAGAAAACTGAGCCACAGAGAGGTTAAGTGACTTGCCCAAGGTCATACAGCTCATAAATCAGGAAGCTCGGATTTGAACCCAAGCAGTTTATCTCCGGAGTCAAAGTGTTTAACCTGTGCTCTCATAGAGAATGTTCTTTACGTGCAGATTTCAGATTCCTCCCCCTGGGGATTCTAATCCAATAGGTCTGTGTGGGGCTGGGGCAACAGCAAGTCAAATCCCCTAGGTGATCTGAGAACAACTGCCCCAACTCAGCTGTCCCATTTGACAGTTCAGGAAACTGAGATCTAGAGAAGAAAAGAGACTTCCCCAAGATCACACAGCAAGCTAAGGGCAGAGGCAAAATTTGAACTCTTGATTCTCTGGCCAGAGCCCTTCCCAACCTGTTTTTTGAAAAAAATATCCAAAACAAACGCCAAATTGGTTAGCTAATCATATGGGGAACAGAGGAGGCACCAGGGGGTTTCCTGGGTCTGAGCTGCCCTGGCCTCAAATTCAGCCAGAACCTCAGCATTCATGCCAGAACACTTACCGACACCATCCGCCCTGAGCCCCACAGGCAAACAGGCTTGGGAATGGGCAGCACTCTGGCCCGAGTGGGCAGCATTGTGAGCCCACTGGTGAGCATGACGGCGGAGATCTACCCCTCCGTGCCTCTCTTTATCTACGGCGCTGTCCCCGTGGCTGCCAGCTGTGTCGTGGCCCTCTTGCCGGAGACACTGGACCAGCCACTGCCAGATACCGTGCAGGACGTGGAAGACAGGTGACTTGCCCCGGGTCACACATTCAGGCTGGGGTGGCTTTGAGACTCAAACTCAAGCCTGCTCTTCCAAGCCAGGGCTCTTTGTCCCTGTTTCTCCAGTTGGCTGAGAGTCTCCCAGCGTCCTCCCTAGGGTTCGCGGCTCCAAGGGGTGGTAGATGTTTGGGGTAGAGACCTGGTAGCTGGGCACAGCTAAATGGAGAGTCCCCTGGGACCCCGCGGCTCCCAGCCCTGGCCTGGAGGCTGCATACCCAGGGCACCACTCTCCTGCCCCCGCAGGAGGAGAGGGAAGAGGAGGCAGCAGCAACGAGAGCAGCAGCAGCAGATGGTCCCGCTGCAGGTCCCAACACAAGAGAAGAACGGACTCTGAGCACTGAAACGGAGCCTTGCAAAGCCCTAAAGGAAGTGAGGGCCCTGCAGGTCCTGGACCACTCACATGAGAATGGGGAGGGGGAATATGGCCCAAAGGCTGGGGCTGTGGTTCAGGGAAGCACCGCCTCAGGGGTCCCCCTCTCCGAATAGATACTACGAAAACTGCATCATTAAAAGGCTTGTCTGTGTATAGCATCTCCCTTTGTCTCTCTTGTCTCAAATATAACACATTCCACATGAGCCAGCTTCCAGCCCAAAAGGGCATACAGTCCAGTTCCCGCCCTCAACCCCCAGGACTTTACAGACCATCCCAGACAACTTGAGAAGAATCTCTTATCTTGGCCCCTTCCCCAGTCCTTTCTTTCCTCCCTCTTCCCTCTCTCTTTCTCTAACCTATCTAAATATTTCTGAGTTTTAAATACCTTATACCCCTCCCCTTCCCTGTTAGGCTGGAAATTGACAAGGGATTAAAATGAAAGCAGCCAATCAGAGGCTTTGTTTCAGGTTCCGCCCCCTCCAGGAAAGCAAATAGGAATCTCAGGCAGCAAAGAAGGAGAAGAGAGAGCAGCTGTGACATCAGGACACTGATCCCTGTTCCTCTGGATTCCAGCAGGATCTGGACTCAAAACCAGTTTGCCACTACTAACCCTGCAGCTGGAGATTCAGCCTGCTAGCTACCCTGATCCTCACCGGCTGCACTTCCTGGCCATTCTGCCTCTCTGCCTTTGGCTGCCACTGGGCTGGTGGAAGGGAGGGAGGAGGGTGAGGGGAGGGTGGAACCCAGCCAGAGAGCCAGCACTGCTAAGTTGATGGCAGGCACTGTCTTAAGCACTTTGCATACATTAACTCATTCAATTCTCCCAGTAACTTTCTAGAGATGTCTTATTATTATCCCCCATTTTACAGATAAGGAAATAAAGGCACAGACTGGTTAAGTAACTTGCCCAAATTCACACAGCTATTAAATTGTGGAGTCAGGATTAGAAGCAGATCATCTAGGATATGTGTGCCTGACCCTCTCACTGCCCAGGGCCGTGAGGCACTGGGACTTTGGCCCCTTGTATGCCGGGGGGAGGGGGGGCTGTGCTTCTCCTACTCCTCCCTCCTGGGCTGAAAGGAGACAGAGAAGGGGAAGAAGGAAGATCACGTGGTAGGAACTGTGTGAAAGGAGGGACAGAAGGCAGTTTAGAGGTCACTGTCAGGAAAAGAGGAATGCATCAGCAAGGGAACTCCCTACAGGGAAGCTGGGGGATTAAGGGGTAATGTGGGGAAGCCATGGGAAAAGACGGCCCTGTTAACACCTACAGGTGGCAGGGATGAGGGGCCAGCCATGCCCTCTACTACATATGCTTCTCAGCCTTGCTTTTCTGCTAGCATACTGCCCCTTACTCTTTCCCCTCATCCTCTGGGGAAAGGCCACACTCTCAAGCTGTACACGTTGCCTTCCAGGTGGGACCCCAGGGCTCCAACTGAGTCAGGGCAACCTGGAGACAGGAAGTGACCTGGAGATTCCTTGAAAAAGCCACAGAGTCCCAGAAGAGCTCACAGCAGCTCAGAAAGCCAGAGGACAAATTGGGGAGGACCAAAATCACCATAACTCACCCCACATCTTGGATCTGCAGCCTTGGTGTTCTCCCATGGTGCTGACACTCCCCGTGCTCCCCAACAATTTCTTGGCAGGACCCAGTAGATGCCGGAGGGCCACCACCCCAACCCCTGCTACTCTTTTTCAGGCAGCATTGCCCTCACGACAGATGAAGGGCACCTAGGATGGCATCTTCACCAGCCTTGAGCAGGGATACAGGGCTGGAGCTGAGAGGTGGGGCACCTGGATCTAGCCCTGCTTCTGCAAATCTAGGGATCTGGGGACCAGTGACTTGCCCTACCCCTGGCTTAAAACCCTGCCAACAACTCTGACTTGCCCTGATTCCTGGGGGTCTCTCATCTCTGTGCTTAGATTACCTGGCACCTGCATCTCCCTCAACCAGAGCCATTCTCTGACCTGCCCCAGCTGCATACAACCCCAAGTCCTGGTGCTGACTCAGACGGCTTACACAATTTGTGCAAACTCCATTTCCCCAGCACCTGGTCTGGGACTTCCCACAGTCACCCCATGCCCTTGACCAAATGGAATTCTACCTTTCTCCCACCCTTAGGTCACCAGTCTCACCCTGTCTTCCCAAGGAGTCACCCCCAAAATACTGGCTCACATCTCATTCTCTTTTTTAAGTTTTTTTTTTTAACTTTTTCTGTGTTGGGGGGAGGGTAATTAGGTTTATTTATTTATTTTTAGAGGAGGTACTGAGACTTGAACCCAGGACCCTGTGCATGCTAAGCATGCACTCTACCACTGGAGCTATATCCTCTCCCCTCACATCTCATTCTCTTGCCTTGGCCCTGAGCCCGAGTTCTAGGACTGTCATGCACCACCCCAGTGACCTCTGAGGCCACCCTCAATTTCTCTGCCTGCAGCCTTGAGCACTTCCTGGCCAGGACGGCACATTCAAGGAGTTCTTCAACTGCAGGACCCTGGTAGAGGGCTCACTGGAAGCTACCTCATCAGGTTCCACCTCTACAACCCACGCTTCAGTCCACACCAAGCTCCTCCACTAGGCTCTTCTCCCCACTTCCCAGGAGTTTACATGAGAACAGAAGCCCAGCCAGTTAAGCTTTTTATATCATGCATGGGTTGAATAATGGATGTCCAAAGATGTCCACGTCCTAATCCCTGGAACCTATGAATATATGTTAACTTACATGGTAAAAGGGACTTTGCAGATATGATTAAGTTAAGGATCTTGAGATGAGGAGATTATCTTGGGTTACCTGCATGGGCCCGATGTGACTACAATAGTCCTTTTAAGAGAGAAGCAGGAGACCAGAGTGGGTAACAGGAGATGTGACAACAGAAACAAGAGGTTGGACTGATACAAGAAGGAACCACAAGCCAAGAAAAGCATGCAAGCAGCTTCTAGAAGCCAAAAAAGGCAAGGAAATGAATTTTCCCCTAAAATCCCAAGAAGGAATGTCCCCATGCCAACATATTTATTTTAGACTTCTGACCTCCAGACTATAAGAAAATTAATTTGTCCTGTTTTAAGCCACTAAGTTTGTGACAATATATTACAACAGCAGTAGGAAACTAATACACATCCTTTATCCTCAGGCTCCTCCAAGGATCAACAACTGGTCTATAGAGCTTTTATTTTCCCATGCATTATGGTTTTGGTAGGGAAAGGGCTGTACTGTCTAAATCACCATAGGCCTCACTACTCCCTATTGTCCTACATCTGGTCAGCAGCACACAATTATGTTACCCTCTGACCCTTGTAGTCATTTAAGTTTAGGACTCCTAGACTCCTCTCTGTTTAATCCCCACTTTGCCTTCACATGTTTATAAAATTGTGGAAGGAAAGATTTTTGTCACAAGTAGAGAGAGTAAAAGAGAAACACTGGGTAAGTCCCATTGTTCCATCGTCCCTTCTCTTTCAAGAAAACCATTTAACAATCATCTCTGAGATGTGACTGTTTCCATGTAGTTCATGTTGTAATCATAGAACTATAGTTGATTCCATGGCAAAAAGCTGGAGCAATAAGCTAGACAACCTTGAGGCTCAGTTGCCCTAACTGACTCCAAGTCTGTTCCTGCTTTTCCTAAATCTCTCCCCCAAGAGAAACCCACACCCCAGTAGCGAGTTCCATGTGAGCCACACCCACAGAAGAAACCAAGTAGCCTGTTACGGCCTGAAATGACCAAGGTTTAGATTTAGCTGATAGACAATGCTGAGTCTGGATGGGATGTCTGGAACTGTGGCAGCCATATTGTGACCCAAGAAGAAAGCAGAGCAAAGACTAAGGCAGTAAATAAGAGTAACACAGTGGAAAGATCTAATCTAGGGGGTTGATGGTGTCACCAAGCCACTGATAGAACCAACCCTGAAGCCAGCTAGCTCTACTCTAATTGTTGAGGGTGAGAATTTAAATGTAAGTCCTCCTTATCCTCCTTATTCTTTAAGCCATTATAAGCTGGTTTTCTCTGACTTGTAGCCAAAGACATCTTAACTAATATACTTTTACAGATTTTTGAAATATAATAGACAGATAAGTAGTTGCCCATATTTATAGTGTAAGATTCGATGATTTTTGATAGATGCATACACCCGTAAAACCATCACCACAATCAAAACAATGAACATACCCTTTGCCTCCAAAACTTTTCTCTTGCCCTTTTTGTTCAGACATCGCTTGCATTTCTCTTGACAAATATCAAAGAGTAGAATGGCTGAGTAGTATGTAAGGTGAATGTGTAACTTTTTAGGAAACAGTCAGTTTTCCGAAGTGGTTGTAACAATTCACATTCCCACCAGCATTATGAGAGGGTTCCAGTTGCTCCACATCTTTGCCAACTCTTGGTATGATTGATACTGTAAATTTTACCCATTGGAGTGAATCTTATTATAGTGTAGCGATATCTTATTATAGTTTTAATTTGCATTTCCCTAATGACTAGTGATGTTAAGAACCTTTCATGTGCTTATTTCCATCTAGATCTTTTCTTTAATAAATGCTCAAAATTTTTGCACATTTTATTATTTGATTTATTTCTTATGACTGAGTTGGAAGCTTTGTTTAATGTATTCTC